CCCCCCCTTCCCCTTTCACAAGTAAAGAAAGAAAAAGGATCACGGGGCCCTTTATTTGTCAAGAAGAAACGTGAGATACAAGTGGTTCCACGTGAGGTCACAAGCTCAGGAATAGGGAGGCCACAGGGCAGAGGCACCTCCCTCCAACAGGGACAAACACAAGGACAGCAGCTGGGTCTGGCTCGGCTCTTGTCTCCCCTTGCACCGCTCTGGGCAGTTTTATTTTAAAGCAGAGACCCCCCCGCCCCCCCGCAGCCGTGAGATCTCAGCGCAGCAGCAGAGCTGGGGGGGTCCCTTCCACAACCAGCCGGTGCTCTGGGGTCAGTCCCACAGCGCCCGCGGGAGCGGAGCAGGACGCCCGTCGCCAAGCTGCTGAGCCCGTCCCTAGGGGGACTTGCCCTCCGCTTTCCTCCGCAGCTCCTCAAAGATCTCGCTCTGCCGCCTTTTTTCCTTGGCACGGATGATGGTCATCTTGAAGAGCTTGCAGTAGAGCTCCATGGCGGTGGGGCTGTCGTCGTTCCCGGGGATGGGGTAGGTGATCAAACAAGGGTTGCAGTTTGTGTCCACCACCCCCACCGTGGGGATGTTCATCTTGGCAGCGTCACGGATGGCCACGTGAGGCTCGAAGACGTTGTTGAGGCTGCTGAGGAAGATGATGAGGTCGGGCAGGCGGACGCCGGCCCCGAACTGGATGTGGGCATTGGTGAGCAGGCCGCCCTGCCAGTAGCGGGTGTGGGCGTACTCCCCGCACTCCCGCGCCATGGTCTCGATCAGGTGGCAGAACTGGCGCTTGCGGCTGATGAAGAGGATGATGCCCTTGCGGTAGGCGATGTGGGCGGTGAAGTTGAGGGCCAGCTGGAGGTGTTCCATCGTCTGATCCAAGTCGATGATGTCCTGATCCAGGCGGCAGCCGAAGATGTAGGGTTCCATAAACCTGCAGGAGAGCGACACGAGGGGACGCGGGGACGAGGCGCTACAGGTACCGGGCAGAGTTTCGGAATGTGGTGTGGCCCCACAGGAACCTTCCCAGGCTCCAGCTCCCAGTTGATCCCAGCGGTGCTCTCTGCAGAGCACCCCCCCGCTCAGCGCCCGTCACAGCTGGGCTCAGGGGGCCGCAGGCCTCGCACCCCCCTCAGTGCTCACGCCAAGCGGGGTCCCTGGGCTTTGGCAGGGCATAACCATGCCCAGGCAGAACCGTGGATCTGTGTTCCAGACCCAGACTGACCTGGTGCAGCCCCCAAAGGGTGACACAGTCTAGAGAAACACTCCTGATGTCACCAAGCAGGTCACTCAGCAGGCCACTCACCTATGCCGACATCCCTTTTTGTGCCCCAGGTGCACGCGGGCGTTGAAGAGATCTTTCAGGGAGAAGAGCTCCTTCAGGTTGAAGAAGTCGGGGTGGTTGAGAGGCTTGGACAGCAGAGAGTCATCCACAGCTGAGAGGAGAAACAAAATAAATCACTGTTCCCTCTTGTGTTTGCAAGGGATGAGCTGGGAGTGGAGAAAGGGCCCCAATGTGCCTGGCCAGAGTACACTTTGCAGTAGCCACGGTTAATAATTGTGCTGGTAGCCATAGTTACTGCACATACGGCAACAATTATGAGGTTTCGAAACCTGGTTGAAGATGCATTTGAACCGTGGTTGAGGCCACCTTGATTATTGATAAGAAGTTTATTAAATACAAGCTTTGATCTCCAAACCTTAGACAGTAAGCAGAACATCCTGGACCATAAAAGAGAATGTGTGGGATTGTGTTGAGGATGCAGAACATCCTGGGCCATAACAGCGAATGTCTGGCTTACTTAACTTGGCAATGAAACTAACTTTTGAGTGTCCTGAAAGTGAACTACCTTCATTATAATACTAAAATCCACACCCACAGGTCAAAAAGATCCCTGCCCAGGTTAAGACCCTTCCCCTGAGCACGCGTAGTATGGAAGCATTATGTAAACTGTATTATAATTGTATGCTAATCACTAATGAATCAGTATGTAATGGTTGTGCACAGAGAAGTGCTAATTTCTGATTTTTGTGCATAAAGGGAACATGAAAACCTGCTGTTGGTGTGTGGAAGAGTCCACCGAGCATCCAGGCCTGAATAAATACAATCTTTCTCCTGAGCCTGGTTCATTGCGCGCTGGGCACAAACCCGCTTTTCAGATAAGATGCCCACGGCCACCTGACTGCAACAAGGGCCTGGCGATGCCAGCAAGGACACGGCTTATTGCTGAGCCGCAGATGTCAGCAGTGCTGGGCCCCAGTGCTGCCCCCCGCCCCCCCTCTGTCACCTGAAATAAAGACCCTTGAAACCAGAAATTGGTTTCGAGAGGAGATAGTGCTTTACCCTGTGCAGGGAGCTGGGTGGAAAGCATCCACGAATCAAACACCCCACACCAAAGAACTTCCAACTATTTATACACTCCAAACAATGTGATTATATATTTTCTACAATGATTTTTGATTAGTTGCTTATCACTTCTATCCCTTATTGGTTAGTGACATACAATGGGGTTTAGCTTTGCGCAAGCTCAAAGGGTAAGGGTCTGCATTCGGGCAGCTGATTTATGTAAAACAATTTTAACAAGCTTCCACGTCCCAGGACGTTTCTCTTATTCAAGGATGGTAGCTCCTGATTAGAAGTTCCTTACTAATTGCTGTGGACAGATCGGACCTATCCTGTGTGACCAATTCGTCCTCGTGTTACCGTAAAAGCCAGCAGAGGAACTCTTTAAGGCTCATTTTGGGGTTTTAGGAAGCAGGCATTCTGTACTGCAGTGCTGGATGCACGGGGGAGCATTCACACTAAAAGTTTACCCTTTATATACCTTAAGACATGAATATTCATACACTTCCCAAGAAGTCTTCACCTTTCTACTACATTTACATAATACTGGAGATGCAAAACTATACTATGCATATGTGGGGGTCTCAGGTGACCGTCGGTGGTAGTTTGGGGAGTTAGCTCCCTACTTCTTTTACCTATGGTCACAAGTCTGAGGACAGCTTCTTCTCCTTGGATGTTTTCCAACTCTGTTGTCCGGCCAAGCTGCTCTTTTTTATTTGCCTTGTTGGAGCATTTCTGCCAGGATGTATCTATTTTCAAGGTTAGGAGCTTTTCCCTGTACATTTTAACAGCTCAGGCTTCGTTAAACACAGAGTTAAACATTGTTTTGTAAATGAATTTCTTAGTATTTCCTCCTCTGAGACATCCAGGTATACACAGCTGGGTACTGCATGACGACATAAGGTATAATGGAAGGATTCTCTTATCGCTAAACTGTTACAGGGCCTCAACTGGCAGGCACCAGGCATCCCTTGTGTCTGATGAGAAACACTCAGATGGACAATAACGTGTCCTACGTGGCCTCGGGTGCGAGGAGAAGGGAAACAGCGCGCTCCTTCCCACGGGCAGCGAGCCCGTCAAGTTCCAGAATTCTGACCAAGGTCACTTGTTCAGGGTAACACACACACCCCCCCCCCACTCCCCGGGGAGGGGGCCGGTACGCGGCAGCACTCACCGCTGGGCTGGGCCGGGGCCGGGGCCGGGACCGGGACCGGGACCGGTACCGGGGCCGATACGCTGCTGTAGAGCCGCGGGGCTGCTGCGGGGAGAGAAAC